TTTTTGGAAAAAAATATTACCAGCAATACATTTTTTTGAAGAAAAAAATATTAGCAGCAGTACATTTTTGAAGGAAAAAAATCTTACCAGAAATAAAAATTTTGTCGGCATTAAATAACCCATTGCGATTGATACGCCGTAAACCAAACCAAATCTTTCTTTCTTATTTTTCTTTATTTCATTCAGGTTTTTTCTTTCTTTCTCATTTGTCCTTCTTTATTTCTTTCTCTCTGTGTTGCTTTTCTTTCTTTCTTATTTGTTTTCCTTTCTTTTGGTTTTCTTTTTTTCCTTCTCTGTTTTTCTTCCCTTCCTCCAGTTTTTTCTTTCTCTTTCTATTTTTCTTAAATTGACGTTTTTCTCTCTTCCTCCTGAGTACTTTAATTCTTTCATTGCTACTCACTTTCTATCCCTTTTATGCGGCCTGAATTCATCCATTTTTATCAAAGAATAAGAGCAATATTTAAATAATATTGCATATAAATTGCGTTGCCAATCTCTTTCTGCATGGGAACTCGGCAAGTTTTATCTATAGAATTAACTCCATTGTTAATAGTAAAAACGAAAAATATCGAAAGAACGCTTACTAGATACAAACGAAATTAGATGCACTATTAGTATCCTGTTTGTTTGTACTTACTAATGAGCTGTTCTATTGCTACTGTAAGACGTAGCATGCCCGATTATCAGCGACGTGTAACGTTTCCTTTTGTCAAAACAACAGATGGAAAGATGAAGATTTGTTTCATACTATTATGGAACATTGCTATCATATATGGTCTGGAGCCCCCACTGTTCATCTTAGGGTCCTCGACAAAAATCCAGAGACAGATATGCAATGTGGTTGGCCCTGATCTGTTTACAGTCGCTCTCTCACAGACGTGCCGTCGCCTCCATCTATCTTTTCTACAAATACTTTCACGATGACTGCTCCGACGAGCTATTTTCGCTAGATCCCAAACTGTATGATTTTAAACGTGCCACTCGGTCGGCATTTCGGTCCCGTCCTTTCACTGTTGAAAACGGTTAAATGTAGCCGTCTCTTCTACTCCAATAGCTTCATGTTTCGCACTTCCCATTTGTGGAGCTCCCTTTCTCTTTCTTGCTTCCCTGATAGTTATAATCTTCAACTATTTAAATGTAATATCAATCGACATCTCCAGATGCCTTGATCTATTTCCCGTCATCCTCTTTCGCACCTCTTTACTTTTGCTCCTACTTTATGTAACCCCTTGTGTGCTAGTGGCACTCCCATCTTGCTTGGGGTGAAAAATTTTTTTTTTAAAGTGTCACTCAGAGTAGATTTTGGTTGGTTCTTTTTGTCTAGTGGCATACCAACACCTCTATGGGTTATTTAATGACGAAAACTAAATATTTTGTACGTATTTTGTTTAAATAATAATGGTTTTAATGATACAATTTTACTAATTAACCCATATTTGGGGCAGAAGAGATGGATTCATAACTTTCCAAATGTTATTTTCGCGTAAGTGAATATAACGAACCCACTGGGAATTGGAACTTGGCTCTCCGATTAACAATTCCGATCCGTTATCCATTACACCACCCGCACACCCAAGCTTACAGCACCTGGTATTTCAAGCGGTTGCTCATCTAGCTACTGACCATGCTCGGCGTTGCTCTAGGTAGAGGGTTATTAAATGAAGTGTGTGATGTGAACGTAAATGTAGAAAGTAACACGTAAGAATTTTGTGGCTGTGCAAGAGGGTTAAAGACTGATCCTTGACTTGAAGAGGTTAAAGATTTTAGCGTTCGGAGAAGCATCCTTGTGGGAGTCAGTTCTACAAAACAGCTGTTTGATAAAATAGACTTTGCTTTTTATATTTCTGTTATACAGGAATAAAGTGTCGCTGTCGACAGTTGAGTTTGAACATAGATCGTCAGTGAACAAACACAGGAGATCCCATTACTGAATTAAGTAGACCACGTGACCATAGAGGAAACGCATATATTGGAGGTAGCGTGTGTCTAATTGATCGCCATTTCTATTCTATCCTCTATTACTATACGGAACGCTATTCTCTATACTGTAGTATTTTTCTATTCAGATCACGAAACGCATTACTATTCGAGCGAATATTATCAAGCAAGTACTATTATTCCGAGTGATTCGAAGGCACCTGACACCAGTATTGCTCAACGGCGTTACTATAGTTGTATCGGCGATTATAAAGTCTCTACTACAACGAGCATTACTGTTATAGTGGAACACGCCTATTCTATAGTTAATAGACTCTCCCACCTAAGTAAGAGTAGTAAGAGTCGCTCAGTCAGTCGATCCCGGACGACCGTGAGTCGAATACTAAAGTATCAGCGACTACAACTAGATTACTCTGTGTTATACCTATTAATCAAGTTCCTAACGTTTTGTACGTCGAACCTATTTTAGGACTGACTTAGTCCAAATACAAGCCTCCACTGTGAAATCACTCCACAACAATTACGAAAGTGACAACGAGTATTCGTTGACATTACATAAGTGGCAACGAATGTTCGTTGACATCACAAAAAATTAATTCGAATTTCTTTTTTTCGTTCTTATTCTTCGTTTTTATTGCTCTTTTTCTTTTTATTATTTTTCTTACCTCAGAATTACTGACCATCTTCACATCCTTCTTGTTTACATTGTTTCTTTTTAAATTCTGAAGTAAAACTTTTTTTTTCATTCGCTCACTTATCAATTAAATCTTTTGTGGTTGTTTTTTTTAAAGATTCTGGAAAATGGTTGGTTGTTTTTACCGCTTCAGAAAATACCTGACCGTTTCTGTTCTGCCCTATTTTTACAAGAACCAGATCAGACCAAAAATGGCGTACGACTGGCATATCTGGGCTGGAACTTGTCAGGTCTCACTTTCCACTCTTGATAGAGTTAAAAGAAAAAGTCCATGTGTCCTAATGGATTTTCAGTTATCTTCCACACTACAAGCCCTTGCCTGTGGACGAAATGTTGTCAGCATCTCGATACTCTCTCGATATTTTCCTAGTAAATGTTTTGACGAACTACATTTCATAGTTCTACCAGTTCAGACCTTCACAGCTAAGACACGTCATGTTACAGACTCTGGGACGAACAACCGCCATTTTTTTCATATTCCATTAAAAAAAAAAAAAAAAAAAAAAAAAAAAAAAAAAATTAAATTCGCAGAGGTTTTTCTCAAGAACGACTACTTGGTCCTACTATAGTATAATATCTATCGAGGCATTTGTGACATACCGGAAATGACGATGCATTCATTATTGTTGGGAAATGCTCAGGAAAAGCGATGATCTGTTTATTGTTTTTTTTTTTTTAAATGACATCAAATCAGTTTATCAACATTAAAATCACTATTTGATGATTTCTTTTTATATTTTTGTATAAAAAATTGTTAATGATTTTTAATATTTAACCGGTTCACTGCCTTTAACCCTAACCCTAACATATATCATACTTCCAAAAGTTGTTAAATATCATACCATAGTAGCAGATGAATAGTAGATATCATACCATAGTAGAAAATGGATGGCAGATATCATACTATAGTAGCACCCACTACTTTATAGATCATACTCCCGAGATGATGCTTCCTCGATAACTACAATTCTTAACCTCTTAATGTCTAGGGTTACATATTTCTATTTCCATAATCTGCTCTTCATATCTCCTTTTATAGTCATACAACAACTTAATTCATTAATCTTCTACCTTGAGTGGCTCTTGGGTATTGTTTTGGGTAAACAATGGGGATATTAGCCGTTTCCTTATAAGGAAACATTCAGCATTCATTGGCCGAGCGGCAAGTACTACCTTCAGTTGAAATTGATAAAATCTTTCTGTTAAAACAATTTCTCAAGAAAATAGGGTTTTCAATCTCACTTTTATCGCGCTTTCCATTATTGATGGGGGAGGGATTCCTTCCTAATCTTTTACTGGAAATAGTGTAGAATCTCAACGTCTTGATTATGTCATGAGCAAAAACTAAAAAAAGAATCAAGTTCTCTTTCTATTTTTTAACTTTGTTTCTTTCAACTTGTCCGCATTCGTAGCAAAACAAACTATATGTTCGAACTCGACTAAAATCCAATAAATGCAATCAACTTCAAAATTATTTCTTTGACCGCCAGAGTCATTTTTTTATTTGTAATAAAGTATTTATGATTTCAATCTTCGGTGAGGAGCCCTCGAATCGTGACGTCACAATTGACGGTAAACGAAATGCAGGGGAAAAGATAAACGCGCATTAACATAGGCAACCAATTCCCACGGTCGACCCTCGACGCCATGAACAGTCATAAAAAGTTGGACTGGCTAAAATGAATTGAAACGGGATTAAGCGAAACGAAAAAAAAAAAAAAAAAAAAAAGAAAGTTCTGGTGATTATTATCTCAAAAGACCAGAAGCGAAAGGTTTTTGGAGAAAATCAATTGACGCTCGACTAACTGAATGTCAGTTGAAAAAGCCAGTCGTTGAAAAAAAGCTCAAGAACTGAAGAAAGCTGCCTCCGATTATAATAATGAACTGTAAAATCATCCACCATCTCCACTTGGTCTCGACAGGCAGCCATTCTTGGCTCCAATTCCACAGAGAAACTTTTTTTTTCAGTTGAATAAAAGAATAAATGCCAGCATGTGCGCGCACACGCATCAATATTTATTTAGTAGTTTCTCGTACAAATATATAGTGATTTTCCAACCGTAGTTACAATGTGGCACAAGGACGTAAGGAGGGGTCACCCAGTGAGGATCGAACTTATTACTCAGCCGGAATTGTTCTAGTGAGACAATCTCACTAACATTACACCATATATATATATATATATATATATATATATATATATATATATCGATGGTCACATGTAAATGGATGCGTTACTGAGAACCTATTATCATCTCCTCTCACTCTTATATATATATATATATATATATTATATATATATGCAGCAAGAAATCATTTAAGCAACAAATTTTCTAATTACATTTTGCATCAAAATCCAAATCGAGGCTTGCGACTGTATCTCATTGAAACGCCAGTTCTCGTACGATCACCGAAATTAAGCAAAGTCAAGCCTGGTCAGTATCTAGATGGGTGACTCTTTGGGAATACCAGGTACTGTAAGAATGTCCGTGTGGTGTAATGGATAATGGTTCTTCATTATTAATCGGAGAGCTGTTGGATTTGTTATAGTCTCTTACGCACAAATACTCTTGGGAAAGATATGAATCCACCTCTTCTCACTCCAGCTATGGGTTAATTAATAAGATGTGTATCAGTAAATCATTATTATCTTTAAAAAATCCTAAAATCTAAAAATATATTCTGACTTTAAATAACCTGACTTGGCAAATCGTATAAAACGAATCACTCTACCAAATTGAGGAGAATTGACTGGGGTTTTTGTTTTTGTTCGAATACTTTCAAAAATCGGAACTTTGGACAGTTTATCCACAATTTTGTTATATAAATTTATTGATTTATAAATATTCACTTATGAATCAATTTATAATGAAAATTGTAAATGAATTAAATTCTGTTTATAATCTTAAATAAAAATCATGCATGATTACGACAGACTGTAATTTCAAAGTTCAAACGATTAAATCATGGCGCATTTTTCATCCTAAATAAAATCAGTTATCTACACAAAAACAAAAGAAGCAAGTATAAACACAGTTTTAATTCAGATGTAGATCAACTTATCTGAAAATCAGGAAAATAAAATATTAAATATCAGTTGAATCTAAAATAAACTTGTTTAAAAACATACATACGTATATATAAGCATATGTGATAAGATAAAGAATAGATAGAAAATGTTTATCAGTCTAATGTTTCCGTTTTATGAAAGTTTCAACAGAAAAGGAGGGAATAAATACTGGCATTTTTTACTTTTTGATTGTCACTGGTCAGTATTTTTTACGTACATTAAAACTATTTAAACCAATGATTCTCAACTCTGGATAGATGCCCCACCGTTGGGGCATAGTAATATTTTGATGGAGCATACGTAGAATGTGCACCCATTCGGCTTACTACACCAACAGAAAAAGGGGGTAATTCGAGAATGAGTTATTAACAGTGAAATGCTTCTAGTAAGTCTGAGTGAAAGTATTTATGCTAATGCATGTTAATACATTCAATGCATATACAGCATGCATACATAAGAAATATTTTGTGTGTATGTACGTAAACGTGTAACTGGCATATATGTAAGAATTAAATATTAAAGGGGGGGGGCACCAGAATTTTAGAAATACCGAAATAGGGCATGGCCCCAAATCGGCGGGGCCACTAATTTAAATCAAGGTTAGTTTAATTTGTAGAGTTCCGAATTCAAGATGACACGTATATTAAAAGTTTCAAGAAATTATCTCATTCTTTGATGAAGCTTTAATAAAAATGGAATATATTAGATTGTTAAACGTTTCTTTTTTTTTTATCTTATCATTCTGTCGGACTCTGATCCATATCGGATTCGAACACATACGACTCTGACCGGAGAAGAAGTCTCTTATATCCGGGTTTGGTCTATTTTATATACATTAACACAGGTTCTAATTTGGGACCAGAGACAATCTCTCTTATATCCGGGTTTCTCTTATATCCGGGTCTCATTGTACATTCCTTTTTATTTGTACAGTGTAACCCGGATATAAGAGACTTGTCGGGACCGGAGAAGGGATCTCTTATATCCGGGTTTCTCATATCCGGGTTTGGTTTATTTTATATACATTAACACAGGCTCTAATTTGGGACCAGAGAAATCTCTCTTATATCCGGGTTTCTCTTATATCCGGGTTTGGTCTATTTATACATTAACACAGGCTCTAATTTGGGACCAAAGAAAATCTCTTTATATCCGGGTTTCTCTTATATCCGGGTTTGGTCTATTTATATACATTAACACAGGCTCTAATTTGGGACCAGAGACAATCTCTCTTATATCCGGGTTTCTCTTATATCCGGGTTTATTTTATATATATTATTAACACAGGCTCTAATTTGGGACCAGAGACAATCTCTCTTATATCCGGGTTTCTCTTATATCCGGGTTTGGTTTATTTTATATACATTAACACAGGCTCTAATTTGGGACCAGAGACAATCTCTCTTATATCCGGGTTTCTCTTATATCCGGGTTTGGTTTATTTTATATACATTAACACAGGCTCTAATTTGGGACCAGAGACAATCTCTCTTATATCCGGGTTTCTCTTATATCCGGGTTTGGTTTATTTATATACATTAACACAGGCTCTAATTTGGGACCAGAGACAATCTCTCTTATATCCGGGTTTCTCTTATATCCGGGTTTGGTTTATTTTATATACATTAACACAGGCTCTAATTTGGGACCAGAGACAATCTCTCTTATATCCGGGTTTCTCTTATATCCGGGTTTGGTTTTATTTATATACATTAACACAGGCTCTAATTTGGGACCAGAGACAATCTCTCTTATATCCGGGTTTCTCTTATATCCGGGTTTGGTTTATTTTATATACATTAACACAGGCTCTAATTTGGGACCAGAGACAATCTCTTATATCCGGGTTTCTCTTATATCCGGGGGTTGGTCTATTTTATATACATTAACACAGGCTCTAATTTGGAACCAGAGACAATCTCTCTTATATCCGGGTTTCTCTTATATCCGGGTTACACTGTACATGTATTTTGTGTATTTTTATATACATTGCCATCAAACGGTCGTCACATTTTTTCTCATATCTATTTTTAGTACGCCTCTTACAACACAAGGAAAAAATAATAACATTAAATTCCAACACTGTTTTACCAATTAAAGAGAGTTAATAAAATGTATATTCCCTCGTAATAAGTAACTGATGGAATTTAAATACAGCGAGGCACGCAGAAAATTGCAGACAAAGAAACCAACGTGGCAAAAAAAAAAAAAAAAACTCATCCGGAGGTCCGGTCTGTTCGATGAGACATTGTTTTATATATATATATATATATATATATATATATATATATATATATATATAAGGTTACGTAAATGAAATAACTAGATATTAGCAACCGTATACGCACGTGCTAGTATCCATACCTTTAGTAGGCAAATATATAATTACCAAATTTAGCCAAGAGGTGTAGACAAAATAGTTTTTGTCTAATCATATTGAGCACGAAGAAATATATATTAATAAATACACATATACCTGCGTTTAGTGTGTGTGACTTAAGTTTCGATGGTTAAACTCGTCGAGCACAATATATAGCTTATATCTTGTGCCCGACGAGTTGGGTAACCAACGAAACTTTAGTCGCGCACCAAACGTAGGTAAATATATATATATATATCTTTTCTTACGTATATACAATTACCTATTTTAAATTCCTTTAAAGTGCCTTTTTAATGCTCATAAAAATAACATTTTTGTTTTATTTAGCTATTAACCAGGCTATTTCCCTCTTAACGATTTTACAAAATGGGTAGCCGTTTATCAATATCGCTCTTGGGATACATTATTTCGAACTGTCAGTAAGCTGGTACACTCCTTTACGTCCGGTTCACAATTCTCCCCCGTTTTTTGAACAGGAGTAGAGGTTTATCCCTTGTTTTCTGTTTAGGGTCGTGTTTTTGGTTCCTTCTAAAGTCTACTGTCACACCATATTTCTAAAATCTCCAACTGAACACAGACACGTTATTCAATCTAATATATAATTAAATCTTGACCTCTTTAAGTCTCGTGTTAGCTGTTATCCTTAACTTTACTTCTTGTCCCTTTTTACAACACCACGCACTAACACTCTTCCTTGAGTGGCTCTTGGGCCTTGTATTAGGTGAACATTAGTAAAAAATGAAATAAACGTAAGAAGAAAATTGTTTTAGATATAGCCAAGGTTTTTAACAAGGTGTGACATCGGGGTCTGCAAAAAGACATTCTCCAGCTATGGAATCTCAGCAAGGGCATTCTCAATTATCAACTCCTTCCTAGCAGAGAGGTCCCTGGGGATTGTTGGAAACGGCCCAGTCATAGAAAGAACTTAAGACCAATGCTGTCGTTACGCAGAGTTCCCGCTTCGGTCCTACTCTCTTTCTAACTTATATCAATGATCTGCCTAAGAGCATACTCCGATAATTCATGAGTATCTGTGCGGATAACATCACAGTTTACAAGAGTACCTTAAAAAATCTGGAATCCCAGAACATAGCTGGTCATCGTTCCTCTCACCTAGTCCAGGTGTCTCAATGGGGTAAGGAATTCATTTGTCAAATTCAAGACGAACAAAACCAAACCAGAAAATCTCCAGCAGTACCGAGCAGACCCCGAATGTTCACCTATCACGATAGATGGGTGTTCTCTCAAGAAGACAACCTTCTGAACGTCTCTTGGGACTCAAGCTATCCACAGACATCAAAATCTGATCTACTGCTAAAGAAGCTGAAAAAATAAACTGGTTGGTTCATCGTACCACTCCAGTATATATCTGCTTATTCTATTTTTCCAAGAGACAGATCAGATCCCAAAATGGAGTACCGCAGCCGTATCTGAGCTGGAGCTGCTCAGTAACCTCTTGACTGTCTCGTTAGAGTTCAAAAGCTTCTACGCGGCCGTGTAGACGATGAATTATTTTCCTCCCTACAACTATTTTCCACGGACGAAACGTCGCGAGCCTCTCACGACTCTTGCGATCTCATAGTGCAGCAACTTTTAAAAAATGAGTGAAAACCAGACGACAAATGAATATGAGCAGACGGAACTAGCTGGAAGCCGTTAGAGCTTGTGCGAGCTCGAAAATCACAAGTCACTGTGACCGAGCGTTTGGGAATACTGGCGTTTTTCAAACAGCTGATAAGACTTTCTATCCCAGAAGCTTTATAGTTGCAATATAAACCACTCTGTATGCGTTGAACAAACACAAATGTGCCTGAGCTGGCGTCTGCAACATATATTTCCTAGCCGTTCGGCTGTTTTCAGAAAACGAGTAACTAGCTGTTGTATATATATATATATATATATATATATAGATAGATAGATAGAGAGATAGAGAGAGAGAGAGAGAGAGAGAGATATGTTTTGTTGAATACTTTAGACAGGTTTTGCCTACTTATTTTCAATTGGATCCTTTCATATTTCCGGAAAAGCTTT